CTCGCAGGGATTTGTACTCAGTGCCGGAATGTGTTGCTGCTATTGATTCTCGGGTTTGTTTTTTTAAATCTTTTATAGTCGAAAGCAGTGGCGTAACTACAGGGTGACAAGTGCATTTTGCTGAACCCATGGCATTTTGCTGAACGGGGGTCCTCGTTCAGGAGTCTTTATAAGAACTTTTCTGTTTTTTATTGGGAATGGGAGCCCATCCGATGAATTTGTCAGGTGCCCTGAAATAATTACGCCACTGGTCGAAAGAATTGATAGAAATAAAATAATTAATAATTTATTGTTACATACATACTTACTGAAGAAATCTTATTTAAAAGATGCGAATTTTAACGCGACAGGGAAATGGGGTCAATTAAAACACGGTGTTAACTTTTAAGTCTTGATGTCGAGGGGAACGTTATTTACGTTGTCTTCGACGTCAATTTCCGTAAACCTACCTACTTAATTTCGCATCCATCTTTCCTCGAAGTGGAAACCAGATATCGTAGAAACGATATGTCATTGGTCCCATTTTTCCTGAACAACTTATTTTTTTGCATTAGGGTTAATTTTCTACGATACGACTTTAAATATTTCTTCTTTCTTTATGTCTTCATATAAAGTAGTGACTGACACATGACTGCACGGTTGGCGTGGTGGCTGGGCAACCGGCTGCCGCGCAACGTGCAGCGGGTTCGGTTCCCGCACGGTGCAACTCTTTATGTGATCCACAAATTCTTGTTTCTGGTCTAGGTGTCATGTGTAAGTGAACTTGTATGTTTGTAAACGCACCCACGACACAGGAGCAACGTTTATTTAAAAAAAAGTAGTTTTTAATTTGTATTAATTTATCTTTCCATTAATGTTCTGTAAATGAATAAGTTTTTTCGATCAAATTCTTTTTCCCTCAAGATTTTTCTTTATACCACTCAGCAAGTGTTGACCCTTTATATCAGAAGTCAGATCACGTCTTGCTAAAACGTGCTGCCTCAGCAGTTTTTAAGAGCCTTTCTTAGGTACACTTTTTATGACATTCGACGGTACTGGTAATTTTTGCTGAAAAGGTGAAGATATTCTACCTGCATTTTTAACACCACTTTGAGAAACTTGGTAACAGTTCTTCTTTGTATAGCAGCAAAGTTTTAGACCGATTATAGTATACTTTTTTGGACTTATCAGGTCATCACAGTTTCATAGTCATCCTAAAATTATTTCATTGAATAAACTGCAGTATAAGAACTTATACATCTATATTTGAACCCTTCAGACTCCAACAATTAAATACCATTTGAATTCATGATTACAATTTATATTCACAAAGAGGAATCAAATCAAACGAAGGCCCAGCCTAAGCAAATGTTGGCACAATCCTAATGGGTTTAAATTGTCCTGAATTGGAGTGTTCCTCGTACATTCGTAATAAATTCTTCACAAAGCTCTTACAAGTACCCCAGTGAGTCTTATGACGTCACATTCATTTCATTTTACTTGTGTAAGTGCTGAGGGTAGCCTTTTGTTACATAATTGCTTTTAAATTAAAGGGTTAAGTACTCTAGAATCCGTGTTCTGTTGCCGTGTTAGGCTTGGTTAATGTACTTGCTTAGAATTTTCTTTGTTGAATAGGTATACTTGTCTAAGGCTTATGGTCAGTTTTAATGTGTAATTACTTAATTTACTAACATCGCGGGTTCCTCACGTGAATTTACTGAGAAAAGCTCTACTAGTTTCGAACCACAGACGGGTTCTTCCTCATGAGCAGCGTGCGCGGTCGCGGCGACGTCGCGCAGCTCACTGATAGTATATTCACGTGAGTAACCCGCGATCTTAGCTAAGCTGATTTTTAGTGAAAACCAGTAACAAAGAAACTATGCATTCTGAAATGTCAGCATTAGTTCTAACTTACTGGTTAGATAGAACTAATTCATACCACTACGCCACTGTTGGACCATTGGTATACTTGTCGTCTTATGGTCAGTTTCAAGTAATATCTACTACCTAAGCTGAATTTTAGTGAAAACCAGTAACAAAGAAACTATGCATTCTGAAATTTTAGCATTAGTTCTAACCAGTAGTAGGCCACTGTTGGGTCATTGGTGTTTCTATGGCAATAAACACATTAAAATTTCAGAGTAAAATCTGTAAACAACCACTAGTAATTACTGTCTGCTTCATACTTTATCCTTACTATTTACTATATAAGTTTACGTAAAATATTATAACAATAATGCAAGCGTGTTAGTATGTCCCATGTTTTCACACTTAAATGGGTTTGTTATCACGGATTGAGCACGGCTTTTAGCAACACTCGTTAACTGTTAGCTTGGCTACAATGTAATAATCAACTGTAAATACTTATGATTATTGTTTAATCAATATCAACAATATCAGGATCATCTACCATGAATATCACGTATAATTTTCTATATTAATTATTAAGCTTTTCGGCTTACTCACGTAATTATTTGACGAGGAACTCGACTAGTTTCAAGTCATGCTAGAGGCCTATATTCATGAGCAGTAATCCGCGACCCGCGACGCGGTGACTGTCGCTACTTGGTCAGCGACTGGATAGCAGTGCGAGCCTCTAATACGTGATAATTAATTTAGTATGTCTCGCGAAATTTATAACATAAATAATTTTCTTTATTTGAGTGATTGTAATTGGCACTGTTGCGTAATATGTCTCGAGATCGATTCCTAAAATAGATAAAGCTCTGAAAGGCTGTAATTTTATCCGGTGGATAGCAGTAAACTCAATCCAAAATAGCTTTATCTACAGAAGACTCGTAACTATACTCGGTATCTATGAACTACGAAATTTCGAAATAAAAATTTCTTTATTTTAGGTAGGTATCTTAGGTAATGGTTTCTGACCTGGATCTAGAATAGAAATAAAAAACATGTTGAGCTCGAATTTTCTTACAGTCCTTTATGACTACAAAGTGCAAAGTATTCTCATTTCTATCCTATTGCTAGCAGAGCCAGGGTACAATTTTGCAAAACCAATTTATTTCTTGTTACGTACATTTCTATTAGTTTTGTTCAGTAGCTTTTGTTTTCATTTGTTTATATAAATAAGGTTTTCCTTCGCGGACGCCTCGGGCTCTCAGCTTCGAGAAAATTAACTCCAACAAAATAGAGACGAGAAAATAATTATTATTTGTATTGTTCTTACATCACTCCATTTCGTACTTTTATAATTCTGTTGGGAATAATCGTTAATACATAGTTTGGTACATGTCTACAGTCTGTGGAAATGATTGGCTTCCAAAGCTAAGAAACCGTAGAAGTGCGTCAAATCCGAATAAATCGAGTAGGAAGGAAATTATTCACATAGAAACGTTTGTACGTGTTTCTTACTCGTGATAAATCAAAATAACCAACACTGTCAACTACAGGTCATACCCGCAATGATTTAGCGGAAACTTTCCCACCGTAATATAACATATAACCCGATAATTGTAATCCAAACTATTCTAAACCTTATGTCAATTACATTAAAGTCAGTTTACTGTAACTAGTAGCGGTGCAGAATCGAAGGTCGTTTAGAAGCGGTCACCTTCGTTACGTCATTGGCTCTCAGCTGATTGTCAGCCGATCGTACGTTTCCGGGGGCCGATGTTTGCGGAATTTTGTTTATTATACCTCTGTACACTACTGTACAGTGGCCAGCAGTTCAATCTATAGGATTCTGTGAATTGTTTTCTTTGTATTTTCGACGTTACATGAAAATAATAAAGTTGAAAATGGACTTTAGGAATTTGGTGGAAAGGTATAGTTTGACCTGCTGTCGTCTGAGCCTAGAATTCTAGAGGTAGATACCATGTATTTAGTTATTGGTCTTTATGTCTATCTATAATTATCTTTCAAGTGTTGAAAGTACATTTTGTGTGGGCGCAGTGCAATGCCCATTGCGGTGCACCGCGGAGCGTTGACTCGATAGTTAAGAAGGAAGTTGTCAATCACGTACTGAACAATGTCAGTTATTGCAACATTGTATTCTGCAAAATTTACTTCGCATTCAGTTAATAAAGGAAATATGTATCATGTTGTTCCTTTCTCAGGTCTTTGAGTGATCTTTTCTGATTAAATGATTGCTATGACTTATAGGTACGTATGTAGTTTACAGCGAATAAACGGAATGGATGTAGAAACGTAAAGTCAAATAAAGTATATCTACCGTTTTTTTAATTCGATGGGCCGTTTTTTGACCACTATCTCCCCGAGTGGTAAGCGATGATGCGATCTCCGAGGGAGCACGTTCAATATTAGCAACCCATTCCGATTTAAACATATAATAACTATAATATATGACGGATTACGTCTGCTCCTACCAAAATTCAACACCTTAATTAGTTATACCTACACAGTGACAAGCAATCTATTGTAATGTAATTGAAGATATTTACAACAAAACGATAAACGATTTCATTATAAAATACGTAAAACACTGCAGCTATTATCATAAAATAGCACTGAGTACCTATCATGTGGCAGTCATTCAGTGCTCCACGCTATTATGGCGAGCGTTATCTACTCATCGATTTTATGACTATTGTCATGTTTACAATACTATTATGTATGTTCTATTGTCATATTTAAACAACAGTTATTTACGTAGCTATGTACATACATATATGTATGTAGAAGGAAATAATAGAAATTTATCATCGTGCTGAATCTTGGCAGCGCGCCAAATAAACGGAAGATTTCCAACTGAAATGAAAAATGTTCCGTAATTATTTGGGCACTGGTAGTAAGTAATGGAATGTCTTTTAAAACTGCAGTAAACTAAAATATTTTTTCTTATTTCAATTGAAAATCTTGGGAAAACCAACCTTAAGTTGTTTTGCACTAGGGCTTCCTCCTGTATCGTGGGTGCATTTACAAATACTTTGACATACATAACACAGTTGTTACTCTTAAATATCAAGAAGGTCAAGTTACAACCAGCAAGCCATTTTCAACCTTGAACTAGTCATTTAATGTTTAATTTCCATTGTTCACAGGGTATGGCGTTCACAATTGAGGAGCGTCAGACCTTGGGCATCCATGGGCTGCTGCCGGCCAGGGTGAAGAGTCAGGAGGAACAGGTTCAGATGTGCAAGCTGTCCATCGAGCGGTATGAGGACCCCCTCAACAAATACATCTACCTCATGGGACTGTTGGTGAGTTTATTTTGAATTGATATTGTAACCAGAATGTCCAGGCCTTATTGATATTACCTAATCTTCATCGCATTATCAGGTTAGGTGTAAACTTCTGAAGAAGCTTGGTGTTCTTAGACTAGTATATAAGACAAAAAGTCTTCGATTCCAAGATTAGGCAACACATAAATGTGTCCTTTTCAATTATAAAATCCTAAGTAATAGGTACTATGTTCGCTAGATAGTGACATGAGTTAAGTTTTAAGGTCATTTAACAAAATAGGTCCGAGTTTTCAAGTGTACTGTTAATAGGCAGTTTAGCAAAGGAAATTAATTTCCTTTTTTCTTTGAAACACTTATTTAAAAGTTCCCACTTACTCGAGTTTCGAGCGAAATGTTGTTAGGGATACCTTATCAAATAATTTCTACGAAAATATTCACTTGGTTTGTTATGAATAGAAGACATCGTTTCATATTTATTTCGTTGCTTGGTCCGTAATAAATTAGAAGGAATCTTTTGATTCACCGGTTCGGAATATTCATGAAGTGTCAGACAAAAGGACTGACAGACGTTATTTCTTGATAATAGGGACTTACAGGGTTATAACAATGAAATATTTTGATTATTTTCGAGTGTATAAGAATTCTGATTTGAATTTCTGAAGACTGAGAATCGAGTATTTTATACGATGAAGTATAACAATAACTACTTAGGTACATAAGTATATCACACTCGATTCGTCAAAGTGACACCTAATACATAGTAGAAGGTACTTTTCTCCTTACATTATGATCCCATAGCACTTATCTTCACAATCACGATAGTCTGCTCGAATATGGTCCAATACAATTTTACCAGTTCTCTATAACCGCAGTGAAGGGATCCATAAAGCATAAATCCCGTCAATGCAAGGTTGTATCAGCTGTAGACTTCCTACCCACACATTGATGGACATTATTGCAACATAGTTGACGATTTCAGAGCTTCAATTAATTTTAGGTCGTAATTAACCAAATGGTCGTGAATAAATAATAAATAATAACATAATAGTCTAGAAATGTACAGTTTTGCTTAAAGCTATATAAAGTTCACAATATAAGTTGTAATGTTGAGGTAATCGTAATAACTGTAGCTCACGTCAATAGGGTAATTTCCAAAATTTTATTTTAATGTCCATCTGGTACATTAATTTAAATCTTTAGACACGTATTTTTCTTTTCTTACAAAATTCAATACTTTCGACGATATATTAATTTGAAATATCGTGTGAAGTCACAGCGTGTCACATTTTGTAGCACGTTATAACGTAACGACCCCCTCACTCCTAAACTTAGCGTCATTTTATCTATGTATTGCAACTTAATACGAGAAAATAAAAAAATACCTGTCTAATATTTGTTCATTATCTAACCGATAGACTAATTAAATTTTTAATTTTGATGCCCTGGAAATTACCCAATTATATTCAATCTTAGGATGAACACACATTAAGGTCACATTCGCAATTTTTTAACAACGTCGTTCGTGATAATTTAGATTTTTCATAAAACTGTTAATAAATTAGATTAACATAATTAATACCAAATGTGAAGTAATAATTAAGCTATCATCTACACCTAGAAATTCTAGAAGCAATTTCATAAATTAAATTCTCAGATATTAAATTGTGGGCCGGACAGCCGTGCCACCTACAGACTACAGTGTTCGCACAACTTTGCAACAACTAAACCAATTATAAAGTTTTGCTACACGTTCAACTACGGTAGTTTTGTGCGCTAACTGCCTACGTCACAGACATATACTTGTTACGAGCTATTCAACTATATTCACGTTTTGCTAAAGGCTTTTTTAGTGTCTAAGGTTCAAGGGTCACTATTATGTAGACCATGGGTGGCCAACCAGTCCATCGCGATCGACCGGTTGATCGCGATTATAATTCCAGGCGATCATAGCAATTAAAAAAAATTAAATACGTACATAGAACCATTGCACAATGATATTACCAACTGCAATAATATTACCAAGAATAATTTGTAGTTTTATATTTTCCCTCATAATTAAATAAAAGTACTACAAAATTGTGTACGAATTATGCTGTTTCATTTCAGATTTTAAGCAATAATGTAATTGGTAGATCGTACTAGGTGTCGTCAGGGAAAAATCGATCTGGGGTCTAAACAAGTTGGCCATCCCTGGTGTAGACCCTTTTCAAAAATATGACTTCTCTTACAAAATTCATTGCTAGCGATTTGTGTAGATATTCCCCTTATGATTCATTTCCTTTTTGCAGAGATGGTACAGTACCTACTTGGATTATAGTTTATTAGAGTGTAAGACTATTTTATTAAACACGGCGAACGATGGGGCGAAAAGTACTGTCCCTTACCTAGATACCCTTTGTTCATAATCATCAGAAGCATCTACTCAACAAATAAGGCAATTTGACTTAATTATTAGGATAAATAAGGTCTAATATCAATTGACACATATTCCAGGACCGCAATGAGCACCTGTTCTACCGCTTCGTGGGCGAGAATGTGGCTGACATGATGCCCATCGTGTACACACCCACCGTAGGTCTGGCCTGCCAGAAGTACGGGCTGGTGTACCGACGCCCCAGGGGACTCTTCATCACCATCCATGACAAGGGACACATCTATGATATTCTTAAGAACTGGTGAGCTTTCTTCTTTGTAAAGTTGACAATTAACATTAACCTCTTTAATAGCACTGCGTGCCCGTGCGTATTGTGACCATAAAACATGTTTTCTTAATCTTATTTTATGCCGTTAAAGTTTGTGTTCTGTTCTCCGTTCAAATACCTCTTCGGTTTTCTTCAACAATATTTAAATGGCATATAGAAAAGACAAAACATCTTGAAGACCAAAGAAGAAATAAATTTGGATCGTCAATGTTACCCATTTGTGCTGCCATTAATAACAATTTGCGATTGTTCCATAATCACTCACAACAACAGATTATTGACATTTCCCTGTTACTTGTAGTATATTTATAAAGTGCCTTCTTTCCTTCGCCAGGCCTGAAACGGACGTCCGAGCTATAGTAGTGACAGACGGTGAACGTATCCTGGGTTTGGGAGACTTGGGAGCTTGTGGTATGGGCATCCCGGTCGGCAAGCTCTCTCTATACACCGCCCTCGCAGGCATCAAGCCACATCAGTGCTTACCTATCACTTTGGGTAAGTAGTTTCTCTAGGATCCACGCATTTTTGTTAGTAAGGCGATCCAATAAAGCGATTATGCCCAAAACTGGTGAGTTTGAACGATCATTTGGTTCGTTATGCATTGTATGATAAATCTTAAAAAACATTATTATCTGAATTCATGATTCAGATAACGATGGAAGTAGATTGATTGATCAATCAAGAAGTATGAGCTTAATTTTGGGCTTGACTTTTAAGGGTTTTAGTAACTGAACCAGGTATTATTTTCCATAGTAGTTAGTCAAATTAAGAAAGTAAATGCTTCAATAGAGATGATGACAAACAACTAGTATGTTTTTATTGTTTATCGTTATCTAGACAATGATTGTAACGTAGATCTGATAAACTCTAGTATTAGATCATATTATATCGATAATGGATATCTGGTATTAACCTGAACCCACTTTGAAATAACATAAATATTCATATTATTATTCCAGATGTGGGTACAAACAACCAGACGATGTTGGACGACCCTCTATACATCGGTCTGCGCCAGCGTCGTGTCCGAGGTCCTCAGTACGACGAGTTCATCGACGAGTTCATGGACGCCGTCGTCCGCCGCTACGGACAGAACTGTCTCATACAGTTCGAGGACTTTGGCAACGCTAACGCCTTCCGTCTACTCGAGAAGTACCGTGGCAAGTTAGTATTACAATTTGACACGATTGATATTACGTGTGCGAGAGCCATGCTTCGGCCCGAATGGCCGGGTCGACCGGAGTGATACCGCGGCCTCACAGAAATTCCACGTGAAGCAACTCTTGCGTTGTGTTTCTTCGTGTGAGTGAGGTCACCGGATGCCCAATTACCCAATCCCCGAATGCCCCACAATTCTCAAATTCCCAAAAAGCATGCCTTGGTGTTCCAGGTGTCCTTGGGCGGCGCCGATTGCTTACCATCAAGTGATCCGCCAGCCCGTTTACATACTCATTCCATAAAAAAGTCCCTTACCCCTAGAATGTTCTAAAGAGAAAGGTATCAGGTTTCCTCAGAATCAATTTTGATTTTGATTGTCAGTTTTATTCTGCGAAAATATTACTCATTCATATAATTGTTTTTATAGTTATTCTACTCAGCCAGAGCGGACCGAATTCAACATAGCAAAGATGATAGAATCTCTTTTAATTTTTTTTCTTCTTGAACTAGATTTGTTTCAAAATATTGACTACAAAGATTTTAAATGTTCTTGTCTAGATACTGCACGTTCAACGACGACATCCAGGGCACGGCCGCGGTGGCAGTCGCCGGACTGCTGGCCAGTCTCCGCATCACTGGGAAGAAACTCTGTGAGAACACCATCGTCTTCCAGGGCGCTGGAGAGGTACGCTTCTTCTCATATTTGTATTATGAATACAGAAACAAGGTGTACATTAAGATGTATGATAAATCTGCCTGTTTAAGTAAAAAATAAGCCCTGTAGTTCGTAGACCTGACATGACAACTAATGTGGCAAGAAGATCTCTGTCGATTCGCCAATCGAGAATTTAAGATTAAGAATCGGACAATTGACTTATAAATTTTGGGTTAGTCCCGAGTAGTCATTGGATATACCTACTAAATGACTTCTCATTCACCGTTGCGAGCCAAACGCTCTTCCTTAAACCAATGACGTTGGAACATTATGGGTCTGGATTGTTGTAGAAAAAAATAACAAAACTATGCACTTAGACATTGCATTGAAATATACACCGTGAATTTCACATTCAATTTTCAATATATTGTTTAATAAAAATGTTCTTTGTTCTCAGGCATCACTGGGTATCGCGAGTTTGTGCGTAATGGCCATGATTGCTGAGGGTTGTTCCGATGAGAAGGCTCGCTCTCGTATCTGGATGGTGGACTCCAAGGGTCTGATCGTGAAGAACAGGCCCGAGGGAGGTCTCAACGAACATAAGGAGAGGTTCGCCAAGGACCACGCTCCCGTCCGCACTCTAGAAGAGGTCGTCGATGTAGCCAAGCCTTCCGTACTCATTGGTAAGTTGATAAAACGGAAAATTGGAAAGGGTTTTTTTTTAAGGGGGGAAAGTCATCGAATGACTGCTCCCGCTTGGATGAGGCGGAAGGGAGTGTCAGACTCTTACTGACTAAAAACCACCCCGTTCCTTCTCCTGCACTTCGAGCCGGAGCCCCGGTTACCCGTTAGGTTCTCCGCGACTCAACTTTGGAAGGGTGAAACGATAAATTGGTATATCAGTCTGTTCAGGCTTGAAAAACAGAAATTATGAGACCATTGCCTTTTTTGTTTGGATGGATAATTATCAAAGATTTCCTACCCTGGGTGAAGCGGAGGCGAGAGGGAATGTCAGACCCTTACTGATTATAAATGATCCCGTTCCAACTCCTGCCCCTGGGCGGGAGCTTTAGTAAAGGGGGCCATTGGCTTGATGCTATGGTATGAAAGTTTGAAAGTACTCTGTGTATTGTGGCAGGACTAAAAATATGTCAATTACAATCTTGTCTTCTTCGATGATGATAATAAGAACTTAACGATCGAAGCCTACTTTTCGTTAAATTTACTTTGGTGTATGCGATAGGCCATAACTTTGGAAATAAATTATTTTGACCTCTTCTTAATTCTTTGTTATACTTGACATAATATCATGGTATGGTACAGGTGCCGCGGCCATCGGCGGAGCGTTCACTCCGTCGATCCTGCGCAAGATGGGCGCCATCAACGACCGGCCCGTCATCTTCGCGCTCTCCAACCCCACCAGCAAGGCAGAGTGCACCGCTATCGATGCCTACTCCAACACTGATGTACGTACAAACTTTATTTATTTAGTTAAACTTTTATGTACATCTTTATATATATAATTCTTCTGTGAGTGTGTATGTCACTGAACTTCTCTTAAACGACTGGACCGATTTTGATGAATTTTTTTGTGTGGGGATCTGGGAATGGTTTAGATTCACAAACCAGCCCGGCAGATGGCCCTGCAGGCGATGTTTAGGTTATTTATCCTAAACAGCTGAACTAATTTGAATGAATTTTTGTTTATACATTCAAGTGAATATGCAGGACAACGTCTGTTGGGTCCGCTATTACAATATAAAAGTATAAATACCAAATAGTGGTATCTTAATGCCATAAGGCATTCTTTACCAGTCAACTGTAGATTCATATCAACTTTACTTCTAGAAAGACTATACGTATCTATTGTTAGAATTATATGATTCTTATTTTTTTTATTGTAATCAAAGTCACGAGTTTCTATTGCACAAAAAATAATTAAAATTAAAAAAAAACAAATATTTTAAAGTTCACCGTCTGTAGACTAAAGAAACATTTTGTAATCAGAAGATGAAAGAAGCGACTCATGCTCCATTAAATACTTGCTGTATAAGCAAGAGCCTCAAATAAAATGTAGGTATTTCCAATTTCTACAGGAGCGTGCAATCTTCGCGTCCGGCTCTCCGTTCCCGGAGTACCGCACGAAGTCCGGCCGCATCCTCCGGCCCGGACAGGGCAACAACTCGTACATCTTCCCCGGCCTCGCGCTCGGCATCATCTGCGCCGGCATCATCGACATCTCCGAGGACTTCATGCTGCTTGCTGCTGAGGTAGACTTCGCTATTTGTTGTTAAACTACTGCTAAATATATTTATTTTAAGGAAGTTTGCTTTAAAAGACCATGTGCCCGATAGCTTTAAAAGAGGTATAAAGAAATGTTGGCACTAGGTCTATCGTTTCCATGCTTAGGTGATTTGGGGATCATAGTTGGCTGGTCTATCTTAGGAGCTTTTACACACAAGCCCAGATTCTGAGAATACTGTTAAGAATGCTGACAGAATACTGTTTCGTAATGTGAATTTGCTTGTCTCTCTTTTTTTGTACCTATATTAAATTTCAGACACAATGTAAATTGTTCAATAAATAAATGAAAAAAAAAGAAATACGAAATTAAAATCTTAATGTATTATTATTCAAACTGAAATCGACACGAAACACATCGAAGGGTAAGTCATTGTAGACACCAGAAAAGAAATAGATCATTTCTTTAGAAGAATGATAAAATGTGAAGTTTCTTACCTAATTCGTCCAAGCGAATCTAAATCTTGCTTACGATAATTTTAAGTGTTATTGCCAATATACTAAATATGATATTCCCATTATCCAGGCGTTGGCAGAGATCGTCTGCCAGGAGGACTTGGACCAGGGTAGCTTGTACCCACCACTCAAGGACATTCAGGACTGCTCCGTCAAGATTGCCAAGAAGATCGTCGAACACGCTTACCAAACTAGTTAGTACCTGTTCTATTATTTATTCTTCATGTTATATGTTTTTTTTAATTCTGATCTACTCCTTTGTTAAAGAAGGATTTTTGATGCAATGAAGGCTTTCAAAGAAGTTTCTAGTCCTTTTACTAAAGTATTCAATGGTCTATTCATGTTATGATAGATTTTATCCATATTGGTTCAGGGGTTCTTAGGTTCTTACGTGTAAGTTATAAAAACGTCAATGCTTCACGTTTGCGTTATAACAGTAGAGTTGAGACGCACAAGATTTAAACAATAGAGTTAAAAATAACATTCGATATAAACATTTGCCCACAATATTTATAGTTTCGTTGTTTATCGATGTTGAAATTGTAGATAAAGTCTTATTTTTTTGTTCCAAGTTCGTTTTGAATTTGTTTAATATAAGTATAATTAACTTACCTAATGGCAATTTTAGAAATGAACTTACTGTTCTATTCGTATTTTTAATAAATCTTGATACAAGTACTTTCCTACTAAAAAAATCCCCTTTATAAAGAATTTCCCCTATATAAAGACAAATTCGAAGAATCCGATGATATAATAGGTAAAGTCATAAAAAAGGAAAATTAAAATTTTATGCGGATACGGAACACTATTCGATTCCTTCTAAACAGTAACCAAAAAGTACCTAAGTATACCTACCTACCTATTGTATTCTTAGCTTGTCTATGAATCATATCGCGTTTGTATATCGAGGTTTACGGAAATATCTCATTTTGTAGACCGCAGCGCGTTTAGGCGTGACCTCGGCATTATTACACGTATTTTAAAGTTGCTTGAAGTCTGGTCATATCACCATAATATTTATTTCTTTTAGGCGCATAGAGATTTCAACGTGGGTAGTTAAAATTTGTAGTTATGCGTCTCGTGCGTCATATTGTCGGCAAATTATTTTATTTATAGCTCGCGTCTCCATTAAATGAATGAGATATGAAGTTAATTTATTAAACGTTTTCTTGAATACCTGCGTGTTATTAGTAGACAAATTGGAATTGTAGAATGTCTGTGGTATGCCAGGCTAAAAATATAATGATTCGAGGAATAGGTTACTGAACTTTGAAACCAATTATCGACTAAATTCTGATTTGATGATAAGCGAAACTAAAATCTCTTTGAAACTGATGACTTTTCTATTTAAGTCCCGTGTCTAAGTCATGCATGGCCAGTACGGCCATCGAGGTAAACGGAATTTAAAAAGATTCGTAAATTGACTTATGTTGTTAGTTATTGAAATCTGTGTTCATACTGAAGCCAGTATACAAGCGTATTTGCCCATATTCTGGCCTTTATAGGCTGAAAATATATTCAGGTGTTAAATTCATCTCTGATTTAATAACTATATTGATAAACATAATCTTTTTTTTCACAGACAAGGCTTCAGTGTTCCCTCAACCGGAGAACACGGAGGAATTTATCCGCGCACAGATGTACGACGTGCGGTACGCGGCGGCCGTCCCGCCCGTGTACACGTGGCCGCGCGACGACGTACTGCGCGTCGACATGATCTAAGGAACTACACACAGCGCTTGGACACACAACAACTCTATTGTACGACGCCATTCTCCATCATAGGTTATTATAGCGACGATATTATACTGGATTGCAATGATGCACTACAAAAACATCGCACTTAATTAAATGTAACGATGCAACGCAAAAGTTTTACTGTACGACAAGACTATGTGCGTTGTCGCAGATCTTTGCGGTATATCGTCGCGACGCAGAATTGTAGCCTCGCCCTAAAGCAGTTGTCCCACTATTCGCGATGACTATCGCTTATATCTTACCAAAATATTGCCTAATAGGCGAGATATCGCTTCACTAGTTTGTGTCTGAGCTTGTTTCTTCAGAAACGAGCTACAACTACTAATGTGCTTCTCGTACATCACCAGCGATGGGTTAACTGCCTTAGCTCGGACCAATTGAATTAAAAAGTATGGGACAAAGAGTTGGCAATACACGCCTCTACTGATATAACGCGTCGAATGTAATGTGTCATAATATGCTTCGTCTCGAATTTATCGCCAATCGTGTTACTTTGTAAATATCATCATGTCTGCATCGTCCTAGCAGAGGAAGACCCGGTAATATTGTTTACCCATCTCAGTGTAGCGATAAATAAACGTGTAAATCCTGTATGAACGTTATTTAGTGTTTCAATTTTTCAGTTTCAAGCGCTCGCAGTGTTTTCGGAATCTAGCTTCGAATATTTATTTTGTTAAGTCGATCGTATTGATGACCAACGGGCTGTTCTAATGGATTTGTTAAGTGAACTTAACGTATATGGCGGTTTAAGTGACTGAAATTATATTTTACGAAATACAAGAGGCATTTATTGTGCCGCCTGATGTTGTTTATATTTATTCTTGGGTTGCGACACGCGCCGCTAACTACCGCGGTACACTCACTACTTACATTAAATTACTTCTACATCGATGTACACGACATTGCGTGTGTGACGACCCTCGCTGTTATTTATTCACCATTCCAAAAGCAACCTTGAAATTAGTTTTATTTTGTACTTAAGTGTTATTTATTAATGAAATTATTGCTTGGTAACTAAGCACGCATATAGCCATCAAACAGGTTTTGTATTTGTTCATGTAATGTTATTGCAATGTATATTGAGGGCAGTTTGCGGTTATAATGTGTACATTAGAATTAGATTAAATTGCATGACGTTCCTTTAAAATTATAGTATAAGTTAAAACTTAAACCATAAATGTACGGTATTTATATGTAAATTTTTGAAATAAATTGATTGTAACATATTGTTGTTGTTTGTTTACAAATTGTTGAATAACAACTTGTTACTTGTTATTAACAAGTACCTACACGTAACTCATTTCATGCCAAAATTAATTTTAGATTTATTAGGTGATCAACACGCAATAGTTAATAATTACATATTCACTGTACCTAGTTTCATCTTCATTTTTATCAACAAAATAATACGTAGCTATTCTATAGCAATGGAGTAATAGGATAAATAATAAATTAAATTGTGTACAATTTTGCCCATCGTTAATTCATACGAATAAGAAATAGAAAAACAGTTTGAAACTAGAGACCTCCTATTTTTTCTCTCCTCTCAAGACTCCTTTTAGATAATTCTTTCTCCAAGCTCCAGCATCTATCAACAGCCTCCGTATCTCGTAGTTTTGTTAAACGGCACATCGAGAATAGGGATGATGACAAGGTATGAAAATTAAAAATGTAATTAGTCCGTCAGTTAGGTAATGAAAAAATATTAGACACGTATTATTTTATTATGTCGTACGAAAACAATACTTAGATAAAACGAATCAAAGTTTAGGAGTGGGGGGTAACTATGTCGCTTTAGAGTATAAATCGTATCTACTCAAAAGTGACGTTGTGAGATTTCAAATCAATACATCCTCGAAACTATTCGTTTCCGTAAGAAAATAAAAAATACGTGTCTAATGTTTTTAAATAATCTACCAGACGCAAAAATGTAGGTAGATGTTATGACGTAAACATCCCCTGAGAAAGGATGTTGATCAATTCCTCCCCCAAGGGGATAAGATAGGGGATGAAAATCCATATTAATTAAACGGATGGGACTTTGCATGCATACAAAGCTACTAGGTATGACGTATCCATCTCCAAAGAAAGGATTTTGATAAATTCCACCCCTAAGGGGATAATATAGGGTATGACAGTTTGTATAAATCCTTTTAACCATTGAATCTTTTTGAGTTCGGTGGAACGATAAATTGAGACCTGAGATAACATCTATGATAGTTTTCATCTCAGACGTAAGAAACTACGTATCTGACGTAAGGAACGGGAACTATGCGTTAGAGTCCTGGGACTCTCTCACTGAGATTCGGTACAACAATAGTCGTCAATCGTTTTTACCACTGAAACCTTACGGGCACTGCACTGGTGCATTATTATATGCATCTATAGTGTGATCTCTGACAGTATGTACGTAACACTATGTTAAATAATTTAATTGTTTCGTCAGGTGCAGCTTATTATACGGACCTTTTTTTTGGGACAAGCCCGCCACATCCTCCCAAAACCGCTGCAACTCCTGTAAGCCAGAATCTACAGTAGATACAACCATGAAAACACCGGCAAACTGAAGTCCGGCGCGTCCCAGGGACATAAGTAACTGTATTGGTTCCCGCAACGAAGTGAATCAGAAGATATTATGTATAAGAGAAGAAAAAGCTATACCGTTATATAACTATAGTCCGTATGTGGAATCTAGAACAAATTTCCGTGCGTTTAGGCGCTTTTGCCATACCTATTATTGGAAACAAGTATAACAGCTCACACATAGGACCCACTTAGATTTTAGTCAAAATTTCCGTGGTGCTTGGCAACTGGGCTTCACCCAGTTGTACAGTCTCTTTTTTTGTGTTTTTAGGCTTAATTCACTCTGTCTCCTGCAATAATTCACCGAGGGAAGTGGAAACTATATTTTTTTTTCTTCTCCTCTTATAATATCTTCTGATTTTTTTAATACTTTGCCCCACATTAGGATAATCTCCCGTGTCGTGGATGCGTTTACAAACATACAAGTTCACATACACATGACACTCAGACCCGGAACAACAATTTGTGGATCACACAAAGTGTTGTTCCGTGCGGGAATCAAACCCGCGACACGTTGCACGGCAGCCGGTTGCCCAGCCACCGCACCAACCGTGCAGTCAATCACTTCGCGAATTGCGGGAACCAAGACAGGTCATGTCCCTGGGACGCGTGCCGGCCTTCAGTGTTTCGGTGTTTTTAGTTATATCTACTGTAGATTCCGGCTTACAGGAGTTGCAGTGGTTTTGGGAGGTTGTGGCGGACTGATCCCTTTAAAAAAAATATACGCAGACGAAGGCGCGGTTAACAGTTTGTTGCAGATTTTATAAGTTGGCAGTGGGTGGGACACTCACGAGTTCAGTCAGTTTTCACCCTATCCAACAATCAGCAAGTATACCTGTATTTGGTGGGTTTTAAGGATGTGATGTATTAAGTGGTAATGAAAAAAAATGCAAGTTAATTCAGACTGACAGTCTTTATTTCGAATAATAGTTACTTTATAAATACAAATTGAGAAGTACCGATTCACAACAAAATATTACCTAGATTACAATGTTCGACAAAATAATTATCACTTATCACTTCATTACAACTGTACAAGTTTACACGGTCGGCGGGCACGTTGCGGCCGCACCTTTTTGACTATCGCTGTACTGCGGGCCGCCGGGCCGGGCCGGGCCTGGCTGGGCCGGACCTGGCCGGACCGGGTCGGCCCGGATGGCCGGGCCGGGACTCAGACGCCGGCGGCTCGAGCCTCACGGCGCCCGACTGCCGCTCACCTGCTGAGCGAGTGCGATCGTTCGCGGGACCCTGAGCTTTCACCGTTGCATCGCAACCGGTCATTGCCTGTAACGCATACATACCCGTTATTTATATTGTTTCAGGGAAAATGTTTAAGCAATAGCTATATGTAACAATAAGTTCAAAATATATTTTGCAACACTAGGATCATCAAGTTCTGATTTGGAACATAAATGAACAATAATACATTTATCATGCAAGCGTACTAGAAAGATATTTAGTTATTAAAAAAAGTAATCTTTGATGGCATAAATAAGCCAAAATGGTGATGTAGTGTCCAATTAATTTCAGTTTATAAATTAATTATTAGAACTTCATGATACGAATGCAACAGTGTATGAAACTACGTAACAGTATAAGAACGTCTATTACTCGTATATAATTAGGTTTACATAACAGCTTATGCAGTTTCATACGTACTGCTATATTAAGTTCGAATGCGACGAAGTGAGCAGCACGGTATAATCAACGAATGACTTGATTGCCAGTTTCAAATACAAGTAAATAATAAATCAACAGAGCAGGTTAAGACGAGAACAAAATATGAATAAAGTAAGCGAAAGAAATCAACGACACACTAACAGCACAATGTAAAACCAATTAATGATAACGTCATGTCGCAACATGTGTTTCATTGAGTATAATACAGAAAAAGCTTTAATAGGTAAGCATCTAACGACAAATAGGCCTGACCTAAGGAATGATGGCCTTGTAAACTGGTGTCCTATAACAAAAGATCACTTGTCACAAGTTTCAGCTTTAAAAGTTACGAAACATTCATACAAGCTTCCTTAAAAATTATAATTTTATTTTTTTTTTCTAATATTTTACGTAGAATATTTCCTTTGTATTGACAAAGGACAGATATTCTTATAACACCATACATAACATGTTGATATGTAAATGGTGTGTTTAGCCAAATGGGTACTATTGCAAGGATCTTGTTTTTTTCCTGTTTAAAATGAATTGCTGTTTATTACCGTGTGTCTATATAGGAGTTAAATGTACAATGTGCACTCACCGAGCCTCTGGTGCTGTGGGAGTTTGTTGAAGAAGGGATGTTTGAGTGCGTCCCGCAGCGTGATGCGCTGTGACGGCTCGTACTCCAGCATGCGCGCGATGAGGTCGAACAACTGCCGCGACTCCTCGCTGTTACTCTGCAGGTACCTCTGTACACAACACACATCACACATGTATTAGATTTTAAGTTTCATACATAGATTATTGCATCTTGCATTGTAAAAAAACCAATTTGTTGTGTTGATCTTGTTATCAAATATCGAATTTTATTTGTAGTAATTCAATCAACGCGTCGTGAGTAGAAATCGATTGCAGTGGTAACGCAAATGCTACTTTCTCGTAATTGTTAACATATTTACGTTTATAACGTGTATTTATTTATAAAGTAACGATGGATAATAAAACATTGCTAGTTAGGTTGCGATTGCTATTTGCGGTTCTACTCACCATTAGTGGTTTACAGTTTTCTCTGACGTATCTGCCAGCTGACGATTTCTCGTCCCAGTCTAATTTTCCGTGGTAGAAGTATTTTGTTTTTGTTTTGCGCGCCATTCTGAAACGACACAAATAAGAAAATTAAAATTAGTGTAATATGGGGCCGGTATGCGACAATAATAATTAGCCTGGTTTTCAAAAAGCAGACAAGTATTTATATCACGCGGTACTTATGTGTACGGAACAAATCGGTGTGTTTATTTAAACCGTTCGGCATGCCGACTATAAGTACATAGCTCGCAGAGTTGGGTAAAGTGGAGCGGTGCGCGAGTAAACAAAGACATCAGAACATTTACAGCGCCAGTGTAAACACACCAATATAACCAACATACGTTAGGTTTTTAGAATGCAGACACATTGGCGGGTTCTGGAATTTATAGACGATATAATAACGCAAACGATGCTAAATTAAGATTCATAGAATGTGAAACGATTAAAATTATTGTCTAGACATGATGTCTGGTGTATAATATACAATAATATTACATGATATGGGCACATACCTGTATGGTATAGGTCCTAAGATTCTCTCCATCATGGCGAGATGTTCTCTGTTGTCATGTGTCTGGAAGAGTGTGATACCGAGGTACAGCTCGAACATGATGCAGCCGATAGACCAGACATCGCATGGCTGTGACCACCCCAGTTCTGGAAAAGAATGGGTTTTTGTGTTGTAACAATAAGCCTACGACGTTGTTTTACATGTCTCAGAATCTCTTTCTGTTCGTCTTTATTTTCTCTTGGGTAAATTATTAGGATAAATACGCTAAAGTCATAACACTAAAACTAGCAATTTAATTCAAGCTTTCAAACAAGTTTGTTATAACAAGTAATCAGCGAAAAGTGTTTGTACAATAATGAAAACAAGATCTAACTATCCATTTAATCATGGTAGTAAGTCAAGTATTTTATTGTCATTATTTTTCAAGTGCTGTTGCGTTTTTGTGAGCAGAGATTGAATTTATACTAATACTTGAGTGTGATGCTTGAAGTTGCAAAACAGAATAGAATAAGGATCAGATGCAAACATCTCTTGAGAGGAAAGCCACTTAACGAATTTATCATAGTTGTGTGAAATAAGAATATTCTTGATTAATACAACACTAGTAATTCTCTAAGGAGGGCCTTAGAAAATTACATACATGTTTTATGGTTTCCACAGTCAGTAAGATCGATATCATACCTAATATGACTTCAGGCGCCCTGTAGTGCCTGGTGGACACGATGGTACTGTGGTGTTCGTGGTCAAAGGTGGCGCTTCCGAAGTCTATGAGTCGCACGTCACTCCGCTTCACACGCATTAGATCGTGTTTCTGTAAACAAATTACAACAATGTCAGGTTCTTATGTATTTATGTATGCATGTTATAGAATGGAATATAACCAATTCCTTGTATATTTTAGTTTTAAATGCACTCGTATCTTAGTATTAGGTAATACAATCATCTAAAATCTGTAACGGTGGAGATTCTCGTGAAAATGACGAAAATAGCAAGTGTTCTATATTGAGGAGCGATTAGTCATTACTTGGCCATCACACGTGGTGTACTGATTCAACGCTATACCTAACTACAAAGTACAAGTCTGCAACGACTGCTACTGAACAGTTCGATTTGTGAGATCGTTAACATTTTTCGTGTTTCCCACAAACATCGAACACATTTATTTATTGCATTGTTATATGGAATCCGGCCGAACGTTCTATGATTGTATTATACATAAATATAAAAGTAAATGCGTCAGCGGAACTCTGCCAACTGCCAAAAATGTTTAACATACTTGTTGATGGGCGACAGACTAGTGAACTTTGTTCGTCATCATCACTTTGTTTTTCAAGTGGGTAATTGCCTTTTGCACAGTGTATTGTGCGATTATTTACTAAATTTAGCTTTTTTAGAGTACAAAGACTTGGTTATATGTATAATGGATGTAGAGTGTGTACCTTTTTGGAGGCGTTGTAAACGCTGACGACTTCGTAGTCGCTGTCGACGAAGAGAATGTTCTCTGGCTTGAGATCAGTGTGCGTGAGTTTGTTGTCATGTAGGAACAGTACGCTGTATATGAGCTGGTACGCGATGTGCCGGACCTGCTCTAGCGGGTACGGCTGGTAGTTATTGTCTTTCTGTAAATACATAAAACATTCATATTAATATTAAGTTTATATAATAAAACATCTTGAAGTTACTAGGGGAGGCCTATGTTCGGCAGTGTACGTCTTGTGGCTGATTTGATTAAAATATCTTGCCTAGTACATTCGCATTTTGTTTGGTAGTTACGAAGACTCAAGTGTCCAAGTAAATTGATTTAGCTATGCTAAATAAATTAATCAACCAAATTGAATTATAGGCTAATGTAAAATATTTTCTCTTAATAGAATCCCAAAGTAAATTGATGACATTGCGATAATGTCAGGACGTGTCAACTGCGTGAATGAGACTGGCTCAGGACCAAAAACTATGACGTAAGCGGGAAATGCAATATATACGACTGTGAGTGAGAATGGACGCAGCCAGACGTAAATCCGATTTCATATTTATGAAATGGAAACTATTTAAACGATTTTATGGAACGACAACACTCAAAACCAGTTATGGATCGATTTAAAGTCAATATAAAAACACAGTTTACCTTATAGCAACTAACTCAACAAAGAGGCAGTGAGTGGTAAGGAAAACCAAATTATTGCTATAATTAGTCCAATATGTCATTGTAATAACAGGACAAAGAATTCACATGTCAATGGTTTCCCCGAGGATTTAGGTTATTTTTTTTAACGTGATCATATTACAGCTTTAATTGGTTGTCATGTCAACAGTTTATCATATTTTATATGAGAACCAATGAAGTTTTGATTAAATTATCTCTTTAGTGGAAATTGCCAAAATCAACGACTCAACCTCGGTGGATAATTAATTGGGTACAATGTAAAAACCCCGCATGTTGGAGAACCATTAGCATTGACGTTATTACTTGTTTATAATATGAGTGACGAGTGTGCTAGCGTACAGTTACATGCACAACATAACGATAATAATAACTTGACACTCACCAGGAAGTCAAATACACTCTGGCCGAGCATTTCAAATGCGATGCACATGTGTCCGTGGTACTCGAACCAGTCCAACATCTTAACACATAAGCTGAAATAGAACAAAACAGTGTTTAAGCAAAACTTTCCACTTCGCACTAAAAATAAAGGTTTTTGTCTTATATAACCTTTACAAAGTGTCGTCATACAATGAATTACATGGAATCAAATAATATGTGGAGCCGGCGTAGCGGGCAGACGGTATTTTTGTGTGTTAGGAGTTGACATCGGGGTTCTTCGTTGGCGAGTCGCCAGCCAGGAGCAGTAACGTCGCATATAAACGTGCAAGGTCAAATATTGCTACATTCGCCGGCGTCGCGCGTCGCCCGCTCCAGCCTCGACTATTATCAACACGTGACGTTGTGCACAATAATAACACATCATAATATCAAACACTCACTTTTTACAATCAGGGTCAACTTCAGCTAACTTTTCTAATACATTTATCTCGAGTTTTGCAGCCTCTCTGTACTTCTCGACATTCTTGATTATCTTCAAAGCCATTCTGTGCTCCCTGAAATGTATAATTAGACATGCTTTATTTCTGGATATAAAACTTGGAATTTTGGCAATAAGTATTAAAAATTGTCGGTGTTACTATAAACAAATGGAAATAGAAATGAATAACTAGCGAGGCGTGTCCTGCCAAACAATGCGTGTCATCATCCGGCGCCGATGTGAACGACACGACATCACCTTACTATCAGACAACTAGCTATTCTATTATTCAACAAGTGATCCTTTAAACTGATATAAAATGTTTGCTTCACGTTTTGTAAGTAACAAACAACACAAAAAATGGTTCAACTACAAAGCGATATGCAAATATAGTGAGAGACTTACACATTTCACCATGAGTCACAAGTACAGCGTGGTAGTGATACTATCTTAGGAGTTACAAAAACTACTTGTAATGTATAAAGAAAGGTACTCACAATTCCAAATCCTTCACCTCGACCACCTTGCCGAAGGTGCCCTCACCGAGCGTATCGATGATTTTGTCTGCAATAAAACCAAGGCAACATAATTAATCAAATGTACTCGGCACAAAGTCATGATGGAATCGACATTGGTATTCCATTCACTATATGATCACTGATACACGTTCGCAGACTCTGAGAATTATGATGTCAATTCTTGAGAACATCAACTACTTCAGTATCAGGAAATTACAAATAGTTACAGGGAACCAACGTACGAGGCTCCAACATGACTCATTTCACATCCAAATGGATTCTGTAATCTTGTTTAGTTTTATCAAAAAGTATAAAAATACAATTAAAAAGCAGAAAAATTTAAGTCTGAAATCTTCAAAACACGAATCACTGACTGCGAGGACTTGGCGGTGGTTAATGTGTGAGAAAACTCGTTTCTTGTTCAATTTCCAGCCATCTGTCTTGTAGTGTTATGTTTTTGTGAGTCACATGTAACTAGTATAAGTTCTAGTTATTTTGAAAGTGTAATGAATGTTTCATTTGTTTGTTTGTGTCTGTATGTATGTATGGTGTTTTGTTTGTATGTGTCATGTGTGAAAGTTGTATTTGTGTAGGAGTTGTGTGTGTGTGTGTGTGTGTGTGTGTGTGTGTGTGTGTGTGTGTGTGTGTGTGTGTGGTGTGTATGTGTGTATGCATGAGTAAAAAGTTGTTTAAGTTATGGGTGTGGACACGAACATCTCGCTCCCATGACATATCCGGGCCAGTAGACCAGATGTCCGTCCTTGTCGTCCTTGACGGAGGAGCGTGCCCGGGAGCTCTGCATGCGCCAGCGCCGCGCCGCACGAGGTCACCGCCGAGCCGCACAAGCCGCCGAGCCGCGCCGCGCAGACATCACGCCACACCAGCACAAGCCCGCCAAGCACGGAGAGCGCGCCACACGATCCGCACGACCCGAGTAGTGTTGTACCCAACAATCAGACAATGGAACGGTTGCCCGTCAGACAAGCGACAATTGGTATGGTGTGTCGGAGGCATGCTGTTAGAGGGCGGACGGGTGGGCGCAGCGGAGCCGAGCCGGCCGAGCACCGCGCGGCCGGGGAGGGGACGGGACGTTCCGGGATTGGGATATACCACACCACTCGCATTCCGATCACTAGCACAATCTACATCCACACAGGTCATTTAGGATAAATGTCCACCCGAACCTCTTAACTAACAATTATTTCATGTAACACATTACTATATGGGAAACAGAACTAACGCAATTTCTTTTCATTTTTGTTTTTGCAAATATTTTAACACACAAAAGACACATGTTAGCTTTTAAACCACGCACAAAGAAATTTAGGACATGCACTATCATTGTTCTTATTAGTTGTTTCTGTAGAACTCAACTGCCATGTGAATTAGTTGCTCGCGATAAGCTTTTATAAGATACCCTCATAGGACTGATTTTATTTTGAACTTTTGCTCTGTACGGTACGATAATCATAAACAGTAGTGAAACACATGCATCAACAATGTTTGTATAAAAATATATCAACTGTTTTTGTTTTGTTATTTTAAAATAAATATAGGTACGCCTTTTTTAATATTACCGGTAGGTATACTTTTATGTAAATAGTGAATAAATGTGGAAAACCACGGACCAGGTATATGTTAGCGGCACACAGTGCGCAGGCGATGTGTTAGCTTGTGCTTACAGGCGGCGTGGCCGCGTGCCGCATCAGATGGCGAGGCCGCTGCGGCCGCTGCCTGGCGCGCAGCTCGGGCGGCAGCACCACTATATCCCCAACAGCTAACGGCTCAACCTTCTTTGGAGCAGCTATTCCGTTCGTTTTCTCGTTAATCTCCTTTTCACCGATACGTCCGTACATCTCATCTACGTGTGCATACTTCATGATGAGCCCCTGTATCTCTTTCCGCCTAGTTTCTCGCTCACTGAGTACCCTGTCTCCTACCGGGGTCTTGTCGTCGTCTTCATCACTCGATGGAAAATATATTTGCTTTTGTCGTCCCACCTCTCTAGCGGGAGAAGCTGCAGGAGTTTTTGTTACTTTTGATTTTCCATAAGTGTCGTTTATGCTTTGCTGAGGAGGTGATACTAAATCTCTAACAGCAGGGTTTATGTTTATATCTATTGGACGCAATGATAGTTTGCCCATTTTTCTATCGTTGTTTTCGCTTTTTTCAGCTCTTAGTGATCTTCTTTGATGTCTTCGATATACACTATCTCTGTCTTTACCATAATGTCGATCTTTTAATGGAATGTCAAATCCATTTTTGTAATCATCCTTTTGTTTATGACTAGAAGACAATCGTCTGTCCACGGTATTTCTAAAAGGAGTCTTATCTCTAATTTTTTCATGAGAATAATTATTTCTTTTAAATGAATTTTCCCCAAAAACTGCTGTCGTAAGACTCCTCATCAGTCCTCGAGATAATGTCGGTTCAGGTTCTAATGTCTTATCACGGTCCTCCTTTTCTTTCCTTGCCCTTTCTTTTTTCTGTACCGCTATCCTATCTAAAACAGAGGAATACTTGTCTTCCAATCGACTACGCGTGCTACCTAACAAAATGCCATCAATGTTATTGTTGGACTCTTTCAATGGATACCGCTTAGTGAACGGTGATGATTTATCCTTCAAATGAGCTCTGCGGAACGAGTCAGTGCGACCGAGCGCGCTAATCCCGGAGGTAGAATGCAAAGGTGATGTGTCGACACGCGACTTGGTCGCGCCCAGGTAACTCGAGTACGTACGGTCATCGTTCAACTTCCGCGCTGGCGCACCGGACGTCAAAGATGTGTATGGTGAGATGTGGCCATTGTTCTCGTACCGTCGCACATTCGATAATGCGGAATTTTTGTTGGAAATGAGCTTTTCATCGAAACGCGGTCGCGAAGTGCTAAGTTTCGTGTCTGAAATAATTTCACTTTTCTCGGATGGTCCACGACGAGTTAAACGATTGATAAAACTGGAGTAACCGTCTGATAGTAGCTGTGTGACGCTCGTGGTGGAAGATCTATTGTAACGTTGACGACGAGGACTAGTCGTAGCACTAGCACTGGTGCTCAAACTGGCCATTATGTTGTTTTTACTGTTTTAGTGGAAACACTTTAGCCTGGATATATCACATAATAGTCCAAAATAGTCATATTTACACGACAGAACCGTTAACACGACACATTGATATATTCCCGCGTTTTTCTTTTTTACACGACCACTTCTTCGCCACCGGACATCAGACTGGGTCTATCTCGAGATCGAGAGCGTACCTAAGCGCGAACGAATTTCAGAAAGATCACTAGCGCAACCGAGTGCGGCCGCCGGTGCCAAGTAATCGTCGTGCACTAAAAATATCGGCAACCCGTGGGAGCGCCCTCCCGCGCACTCCGAGGTGCCCGCCGCGAACACATTTCTTCGCATTACACTTTACTACGTTTTTTCGTATGATTGAAATGTAGATTTCATGCCTATTCTGCGAATTTCTATTATCGGAGTACATAGTAGCCAAAGGTTAATGACCCATTTTTAATGACACCTAGGTTCTGTTTAGTTTCTCATCACGTCACTATTTTGGCAAGGAAATAATTTTCTTCAATATAGTAATTAAAAATGCTTTAAAAGCACTTCATTCCGCATGGTATTTAAGTACCTATTTACTAAGAAATAAATAACATCCCTGACAATAAGTGTTTACAGGCTTATTAAGTGTTAAATATATAAACGTAAACAAACTTACAAAATTTTATAGCTCTCAGGTTTGAAAAGAAATGGCATCATTGTTTCGTAGATGCACACCTTTCTCTGAACGGTGAGCAGCGGAGCCAAGACAGTTCTGTCAATAAGCTGTAGGTAACCAGGTCAGTGGAGCGCGTGTGAGCTGTGAACAATGCCGGCGGTGGCCGATTCTGACGCGGGCAAGCCTCAACACAGCGCGTGCGCAGCGAACACGCAGTGTTATCTTATACACGCATCATTGGGCCTAACCCCATAACTTGTATTTCTAGTAATTATCAAATCAACGTGTCAAAGCATGTTTTATCTATTGAGAGTGAATACGCGATGAGCGGATGCGGGCTACCGGACTTGAGATGATAAACTAACGCTCCACGATCCATCTACGTGCGCTCTCACGCTTATCATTGTGTTAAACATATCTGTCCCCATCCGCGTTCTCTAATAAGTCGGTATTAAACTGTAGTAGTATTAAAACCTTGATTGATTCCGGAATGTTCCAAGAATTATCTATTATATTTATTTGAATAAATTATCTATATATATAAAAATGCAACCTGTTTCCCGTTGTCACGCCATAACTGGAGAACGGCTAGACCGATGTGGCTGATCATTTTTTTGTTGTTTATTATTTCTTATGACAGAAAAAGTCCTGAAAATCCTACGGGAACGGGTGAAAACGGGACTGCGCGTACGAAGAAGCTAGTTATCAATAAATATCACGACACTACCCAATTTGTTCTTTATTTTTTCTCTGAAACACTGGGTTCGAAGTTAACAGATTTTAAAATACGTAGTTGCTATACAATGCTGTACAGTAACGTTGTCATTTTAAGTCAACACAAAATTGTATTGCATTCTCGTAAAATAGCTCACTCGCAGTTACCAAAGCATAAGTACATTAGCCCACTGCGTGGCAATTTTCTACTTTCACTTGGCGAGTAAACATTTTTCAACACTATTAGACGGCGTCGTTACAAACTACCGTATTGTTTTTAATTACTGATCAATATCTGTCACTTTTCTAACTCGATGCATGTATTTCACTACAATTTATTGACGTTCTACATTGGAAACTTTATTTTGAAGAGACATACCAGTGGGCAATCCTGTTCGTCTATTAGCTCCGGATAATTGAATTTTATGATTTTTTCCAAGACACTAAGCAAGCAAAACGTTTTCATTTTGAGAACGGTCAGATAGGTCGTGGTCACTAATAACAACACTGATGCAATACGTTCACAAGTAGCAAAGTTATCGTCACTTTTGTTCATGATAACTACCGCATGGGAATTATTAGTTAACATTGCACATCGGAGCCACGTTAAGGACTGAATGTTGTTCAAAAAGCCGAACAGCTGTTTTGCTCGTTTGTTGTTAGGGTGCAGGTAAAAGGAACTCAAAGGGTCGACCGTACTATTATCGCATCCTATTATTAGAGGGGGGCCAAGCAAAGCAAAACATTTTTGAATTTGTATATATAACGGTCACATTTGCAGCTGTATTATGTAATTTCGGTGAGTAATACATATGAATATAGTTAGTTGATAGTACCTATGAGCAGTTCATTAGCCTAAAATATAACATCTCCGTAAATATGATAACACTTGTTTAAATAATATTAAAGAGACATGTGAATGTTACTTGAATGTGAATGGTTTGTTATTTATTTATTAGACGTTACACACATTAGTTGCGAGGACCTATTTCATTATAATGCATTTTATATTATAAAATAACAATGGAATTATTTGTATTACATATTATGTATAAGCAGAATTTTAATGTTTATTTACCTAGTGTGATTGAACTTTATATATACATAAAGTAATAATTTCAATTTACGTTAAATCTGAACAGTATAAGAATATTTTAGTAGGACGCACAACAATTCTAAGTACGTCAAGCCGTTGTTTATATGACTGACCTTGCCCGCTAGTCGACTACAAGCTCCGTCAACATCAAAAAGGATTTCTGCGACCACAGAAAGTAATTTCGAGACATCATGCCACTTGCATCCGTGCTCCTTGAGAAACTTCTTGTAAAGCTCATAGAAAGAGCCGAAGCGTAAGGGGAGACGCGCACGGTCTTGTTTCAATGACAATTCAGCCATTGTGCACTTCACTGCACTGCACTGCACTACGTGTCTAGTGAGCACTGTTTAGTTTACAACACGAGCGACGGAGCCGCCGGCGTCGTGGGGCGGGTGGCCAACCGGCCGGTTATTACACAACTGGGTAGCGCGCTGCGATACCACTACACGTCTCACTTAACTTCGCGGACGACACAGATGACACAATCAAAAAGATAACCCAACTCAAATATTGTACTAAAACGATGTAAAACAACTTGATAAATGTGTACTCCGTTCAGCGACTGCGACTTGACTGCGCGAGGACCACTATTCCATGGCGTTTAATTAAAGATGGCATGCACAAATGGAGCAAACAATTTCAAGCTTTTTCGTATCGGTTTAAACAGGATTGATCCGCGTCCCACTCGTTAACATTGTTGCCGATCCGACGACAAAATATTAAGGGAATTTTTGGAATGTACTATAACAAACACACTGGTTTCACTCGCTAAATGAACCTAAATACTTTCTTATTTCTAATTGTTTTGTACTATTTTGAGGCAATGCTCTTTATCTTTATTTAAAATGTTTATTTTTATAACAAAATAATAAGCGCGTAATTCAGTTGATACGCAATTTAAAAATATTTTTCTGCACGTTTGCTGCAGCGACTGTGTGGCCAGACTGCTGACCAACGTGATGCTGGCTGGAATCCTATGGGATTTTACAAGTTTGGGTGAGGCAAGTGTGTGAAATAAGATTTACGTACAAAATACGATATAATATGTTTAAGTACGTATTGTTGGGTGTAGGAATTTACAATATTGGTATTCACAAATCACAACGTCAGCAAACGAGCATTTTAACGATTTGGAAGTATTTTAATTAATCAAGTATGTCACCAATAATTTATAATTAAAATATAAATGTGAGCTATTTTCAGCAAAGTAGAAACTAATGAAAATTTGAGCAAAACAATACAATTAGTTTAAACGATCTAATATTATAAATATCTAATGCCAAAACGAAGTAAGAAAAGCAAAACTGAAAATGGGTTCAAATGGGATCCAGAGGAGGATTAGCGTCACGAGAGAGGATTCAAGGCAAGAGACGGGTGGGTGCTAACAATCGCATGTGATATTTGGCGAAGCAAATCCGTGCACTTGACGTGTAGTGGTGCCGCAACCTGAACGATATGGGCAAGGTCGACCGGAAGGAATCGGGCATTACAAAATAGATAGGTGTGCAAAACAACGGGCGTACCACATTTATCAGGCCATATCTTGCCCGTTGTGGCCAACACGCCACGGCCTATTGTATTAATGATACGCGATAGCATATTCTCTCACTACCTTAACTTATGAACTTGACCCCTAACAACCATTAAGCGTTAAATACTTAGGTACTTATAACATAGTGAAACTATTAAAATCTAATTTAATTAACAATCTCGCTTAATAACGTACTAATCTCATTGAATATAGTATTGTAATTCTATTATCAGAGAGATTATTTTCAGATATTAACTTGTCGAGTACCGGTATTATAGACACAATTATAGAACAATAGGTTGCGGTCACCGGTGACCGCTTGGTGTTTGACAGTTTAACGCTGTAAAAACATTGTTTTCTAGTAAAATGTAATTAAACAGCTTGCATGTAATGTAAATTTCATCTACGTCTATTACTGTTTAAGTTCTCTCAGATGAGAAAGTTCATTATGTAATATGTTATGAGAAAATGTTATTGCATTCTTATCAGTTTTGCGTAAATAATCTGAAGGGTAAACCTTTCAATGTTACATCTTTCTATATTTTCTAGATGATGCGATCGTAGGAATTATAGATTTGCATTATAATACGTGAGTTTATAATTTTAATACATTTCAGTTGAAGTAGTATTATAGGATTTTTCCTTTTCCGGGTATCATGATGGTGGATTAATAAACATCGCACACAAATCACACAATAGTTTTACTTTATGAGAAAACCATGTGTACGTTTTATTACTACATTTTCCACTACAACGATCACATCTGCATCGATCCGGATACAACAAGCTACAATTTAGTTTTGGTTTCTCAATTCAATACAATTGACGAGCACGCCTCTTGATGTGCATTCATTAGGCAAACGTATCAAGAATGAGTCCGCAACGATTTCCACTAACTCTTTATTGTCAAACTAAACTCTGTAGTATCTTACTGTTTATTATTTTAATATGAATAGGTATTCAAAAAGTACGTATAGGTACGTACTTTTAGAGTGGGAGTGGGAGTTGGAGTTTCTTGCTCGTTCTTCTCCATAGGAATCTACACCTTGGAATGAGAAACTAGCTTCACTTCTAAATTTTTTGTTGTTGACTTTCAAAAGTGCCTTTCTGGTCTAATTGAAATAAATGATTTTGACTTTGACTTAGATTGTTAGATACAATTATATGTGTTTTTTTTACGAAATCGAAACCAATTAACGTTAATTTAACATTTACAGGTTTAAAAGCAAATGCGAAGGAAGAAAACATTTTGTTCTCAGTTGCAAATCAAAGGACAAAAAATGTTATGTTTTGTTTTTTTTTTTTAAATTTATCTGTAGTAATTGAGGTACTATGAAAACAAATGTAAGCTTGAAAAAAATATTTTATGCTTTTGAAATAGGGACGAATATCTAATGTATTGAGTGTTATCACTGTAGAGATATAGATGCATGACGGCTCTCTCCTAGGTGAAGGTGATCATCGAGTGACTATTTCTGTGCGCATGCGTCGTTCATGTTTTCTGTGTGAGAACAACAACTCGCAACGCCATCTATCGATCGCTTTTGGAATCTCATAGATCGTGCCAGCTGCTGATACTATTTTAGAACATCATACAACGTTGTTTATTAGACATTGGTACATAAAAATCATTATTGTTATATTCTATTAAAGTTAAGAATACACACATTCATAGATGGAATTATGTTGATAATGTCTGTTTTATATTGAACTTAAAGGAATGTGTATCCATGCAAAAAGTGACGTTTCAGTATTGAAATAAACGTATATGAACGATGAAAATTGCGTACACACTGTACAGCAAAAGCAGAGGTTAAATTCAGCACAAACGTTATTAAAGCTAAGAGGAAGTCCTTTGGTTCGGTTTTTAAACATATTTAACAGCGTTCCGAGGATAGTGATAAATTAAATCCTTGACCTAATAATATATGCTAAAATAGATGCACATTGCTCTCAATACACGCGCGCTGGCAGCGCGTGGCGCAGTTACTTTTCATACAACATATTTAATTTAACATCAAGTAAAATAATGTTTGAGACTTGTTAAAGTATAAGATATGTTGGCTGACCTCTACTTCTTTGGACTGTTTCTCCGGTTTGAGCTGTGAGCTTTGAACAGGTTGTTGTGGTACGAAGGAGCACGAAGGCTGGGGCTCCACTGCTGGTTGCTGTGATTTCCCGGG